CTAAATCTGAATGTACTAGAAAGCCCAGGGAAAAGGCTCTCATGCTTATTATGGTACTTAGCCTACTTCTACAGTATGGATAGACTTCTAGTAAATGACACCCGTGAAGAAACACTGGAATGTGATGGTCAAGGCAGTCGTCCCATGGAGTGCATGGTGTCGCAGAGCAGTTGCCGAAAGTAAGTACTTAATGTTTTGATTCCTGACTAATGTAAAGGATCCCTGAAAGTTCCAGCAGATGGATATACAAGGGCACCGTGAAAGGTTCTAGAGCCTCTAGTAGGCTCAATTCATACGTCTTGGCACCGCTCCGAACAATGGCAACGATCCCAGCTGGTTTTCTCAAGGAACTATGATCACTTTCAATTTTCACTTACATTATCAACCATCAATACTCCTCCTTTCCTGAGCAACGTTACTACTCGATCATAGTACAGCGGGTAGTTCTCCTGTAAAAGTGACAGCTGAGACAAATAAACCCTAGCTCAGATATGTTGAACGACAGGTACTATTTGCCCTCCAGCCCTTCAAAACAAGGCCAGTTATTAGCGTTTTTCTCAGGTTTGGTTGGAAATTTTCTTCTAGGGATCGGCCTCTCGAATACGAGAATTGTATCCGCTTGGCACCAAACTGCATGACGCCTACGTCTTATGTTAGACATCGGCAGCAATGAATCCTGAACCGCCACATTCTCTGAAAACTTGTCTCCAGAGGTAGTTTGCCTTCCATCCAGAGGTAGTTTGGCTTCCACATCATGAAAAAATATCTACTTGGCTGCTGAGGAAGTTGGAGATGGGGAAAGGAATACACCTCACAGCGCGGCCTACTTCTGCTCGCCTGCATCCTTCTTCCGAGATGTAATCCTTTCCTCTGCTGAAACTGTGCCTCAGAAAAGAGGAGAATCGCTATCGCCGATATCAAAAAGGGCTGCCTTGTCTTGCCATGTCTCCCTAAGTGGCATACTGTTTGGCATGAACTGACCTGGAGTCCGCGTTACACGCGCAGGAATTACAGCAGGTATATCGTGTGTCGCTTGTAACACGAACGCTAGGCTGTTTCGTGTTTGGTGGTAATGTTCATGCTCACGTGGTTGAATTGCCACTGGATAAAAGCTGCCAGCGAATCTGGTGCCTCAGAGCACTCTGGCCTCGCGTTTGTGGCGCGGGCCTCCGATGGTTTCAAAATAAACAAATGCGATATTAGTGTTCAGAGAGTCAGACCACCTCTGGAGACAAATTTCCAATGTCTGCCAGTCTGTTTGGATAAAGAAGTCGAATAACTGGCCTGTTTTTGGAAAATTGGTCAGTAAAGGGTCAATGGTGCCAAATAAAAAAATTTAAAATATTTGCACTAAGGAGTATAGGCAACATAAATAACCTGCCTTATCTGCATCAATGAACGCAAAGTCAAAAGTTCCCACTTTGGCCATCGGCTATCATTTTGTCTGAAATCTCACTGACTTTTGCAATACTGCGGCATTACTTGGTACTACATTTAAGCGTATGACAATTTGTCAGAGTAATAGGATCTTACCAACATACATTAGACTCTCAACTCTACACCACTCACTTCCGGTTCTATTCTTTTCAATTTGCAGCAAGGTTTTGATGAGCGACATGGTTCCAACGTCTCCTTTCGATGTGCATCACCGCTGATCCTGGCTGCTGGCTGCTAACGCTGGCCGTTTTCCACCCTCTATATCTTAGAGATGTGGAGGACGTTGCTGTGTACTTCATCTGAAGAGGGCGGAAGCGCTCTCGTGGTACATTGTGGTTTTGCAATGTAGTCATGCCTTTTTCTTTCCTGTATAAGGCAGGATGAAATTCCTTAAATGGGAAGAATACGAAAAAGCAGCGAACACTACTCTCAGATGAAACACGCAGCCACTCCCCCACCTCCCATGTCCGGGATTTATTCCGGATCTGCTCTTTTTATGCCGGCAAAGCGATATCCTGTCCAATAAGCGTTTCTCCGCGTCATCCAGTACTTATACCATCTACCAACGAAAAAAAAGGAAAGAGTAGGGTAAAAAATGAATTTGCGGCAGAAAGGTTGCCTTCCGGTGGGCGGGCAACTGTGAAGGCGTCAAAAATACCTTTTATGAGAGCCATAGCGCCTTCGTCACCTATTGTGAAGCCGCGAAGGTGGGACAATCTTGAAGATTGAGGGCCAGACTACTTGTACAAGAAAGGACGACCACGAGAAATGCTCGAGTGCGGGGCTGTCTTTAAACTCACCTAGCGAAACCAAAGCAGGTCCATTTACGGGGATGATTCTCTTGTGAACATCTGGATCCTTAGAGATTATAGGTACACCGTAGGTTTCGTAGTTATCGTGATTGATATCCAGTGTATAAACCTTAATATACTTCTTTTTGCAAGAGGAGAACATTAATCATCAAAATTACCTGTCCATCTTCACCAGCTGCCAAGGCCCATGCGAGTGCGCTAGCACCGGTGAATGTACCGACATCAATCGCCTTCTTGCCATCAATCAAATGCATAAAATTCGAACCGACGGTGAGAACCTGTTCATGTGTAAACAGTAGTGATTTTTCATAAGATGAAGCGACATCAGCGGGAAAAACTGGAGTAACGAAAGTTTTTCGCACTTCTTCGGGAGCCGGGCAAGAGAATCGTAAATTGCCGCTTTGCCGCGCGCGGCACTAGGTGCAACGTTTCCTCAAGTTACACTACCCTTTCGATTGGAGCATCGGAGAGAAGGACGCGATACACATTGTGTCCATTTTTGGCTATAATTGTCTTTTCTCGACCAATACACCTATAATCATCGTCATTAGCGGGCGCGGCGTCGCACGCGACGCCCAGCGCGGCGAATTACGATCCTCTTGCCACATACCCCATTTCTTGTCTAATGAAACAATACGAAGATGAATCATCAGAGCAAGCGTGTCAAAGTGAGTGTGATGGAGATGAAGGGAAAATTCAGAGAGGCTCACCTCTGGCGCTCCCATCATACGACCCATTGGAGCACTTTCCAAGGTCACTTTTTGGAGTTCTTCTTGCAGAGGATGCTGAACGATCGTCATCTGAAAAGGTTTTGTTTGTTTTGGATTGGCGCTGATCATCTTGAATGAATCATGCAATTAATCCAACATTCCCTTTTGCCATGATTACGAGCTTTAGCGAATGATAATAAAGTGTGTGTAATTCGATCTCACTTTGAAGCTCTCACCTTACAGCAGTAAGCAATCACTGGATCTCCATGCTTGCCATAGCTCTTTCCAACTTGTGACATCTAAAAAGTCGAAAATCTTTGGAAGTCACTTTAGAACTGGTGAGGACGACATTTATCTGTGCTTAATCCGAGCCTAGTTGTTGTTGAAGGTATCCAGAGTTTTGGAGGTTGTAGTCAACACCATAATGATCAGAGAGAGTAAAATCTCCAGAGACGGTGAAATTAACAAACCAAAAAAAAACAGTAATCGCTAGAAATTCTTTGCATGGCCTCACTGAGAAACATCTGTGAATCCAGAGCAAAGTTGAAGTTGAGTTGAAAACATGACAATTTCGGCGAGACCTTTTATAGTGCCATGACAAAGTGGGCAGAGACGAGTCAAACATCGGAGTTCAGGTTCAATTCTGCAAAGTGCAATGTACAACACAGCAGCGAACTTGTAGACTAGTAGGAGATAAAAACGGGTGGTTCCGGTAATGGTACCAGACCATCGCAAATGATCTTTGTTCGGGAATTGAATGATGCAATTTTCTGAATGTAAACACGAAACAAAAAAGAGGCACCACTTTATTGCTCTTCAGAAAAAGCTTCAAAGGTCCAGAAGTTTTTGGAAAGATTTTTTATTTTCCAGCTATTGAATGTTTTATCAATTTCTTTATTAGTTTTATCACCGAATGGGAAATTAATTTTTTTGCAAGAACTTTTGGCATTTGGATCTTTGGAGTTTTCTTTTTGCTCTGGACTTTGGTGCCTCTTTTGTTTTGCTTTTACAGGTTAGGTTACCATCATTTTCACTGAAGTGGGAGGCAGGTGGCACTACCGCAAGACGTGTGGGTTTAATATGCCTAGAAAGGAAGACGCTCTTGAGTAGGCGTTGCGCGTTTTCTTCAAGGGAGGTGCCCTTATTGCGCTCCATCAAGCTGCAGCATACCCACACCAACGCCTCCCGCGTCCGCCCGCCCACAATTGTCCGACCGATCCTGATGCTCTTATCGCTTCATTTGCGAAGTAAAATATGAGGCGAAGGGATCGATATGAAGCGACTGCGGTGCTGCGTGGATATATGTATGTATATGCAGCCGTATCTACCGCAAGCTTTTATGGGCACCATGCCAATGGGGAACTCGTCCGAAAGTGTTCTGAATCATGTAAAACGAAGGTTCTTTGCAGGTTTTTGACCAGTTCACTTCGCTTCTCGCCAGTTGCGCCCACTATATACCCCCGGATTTTTTTTTTCCTAATCATTAAGCCCTATGCCTTTGCCCGTCTCCGATCTTCCAATTGTTGGCAGTTGACTGCTATGTGAACGACTCCTCTGAAGGGAGAGCAAAAAATTTGCAGAAAAACCCTAGCCAGCGAGCGTAGAGATTACTCCTACTGATGAGAACAGAGAGACGACTCTGCTCACGATCACCAGGAATAAAATATTAAACAGCGGAACAATAATAAGCATCGGTCAGATAATCGACTTATTCGGTATTGGTCCTTACCCTTCACGCTTTTGGCTTCGCAAATCCTCTAATGGTAAGGTCTGCCCCTAGATGATCAGTTACATTCTTTGTGAGGCACGTGCACCTCATTCATGCTCATGAACTTCTTCCTGCTGAACCGAAGCTTCAAAATTTTTCATAGTCAGTTCAAGTATCATAACTCCTTATGCGCGATGAAACTGGGGTCAAGATTTTGGCTCACTTACTCCTGCACAATGAGGTGATCCTGGGCATTACAAGTCCAGATCGCAGCGCTCATAATGTTTCAGCTGTATGAAATACGTGCAATACGTTAGTAGTTGAATCAAATTTTACGTACTAGTAAATAGTCCCAAAGGGACTCTCAAATATGCGATTTTTGGTAGACATCAAAATTTTTCCTGGACTGTAAGCAGATCGTAAACGTGACCGAATGAACCAATGAGTGGCACCAGTTCTTGTTGCTTGCCCGCTTTAACAATTGCTGGAGAGCGGGCTGGCGCAGCGCCAAGTCCAACCCCTTGACACGCTCCGGCGTCTACGGGGAAAACGATTGTGGAATAATGACTGACTTGAAGGCATATGGCACGCTTATTTGGTACTTGGTCCAAAATGCCAGCAGGGTGCTATGTAGTGGGAAAATGGAGAAAAAAAAGAAGTGAAACGGTCAAAAACCTGCAAAGAAAAGGCCCTCGTTCTTCATGACGCAGAAAGCATTTTTGGACGGATTTTTCGTTGGTATTGCGCTAATAAACGCTACGCTAGATACGTCTGCATATATATACTCATATTTCCATGCAGGACCAGACAGCCGCTTCATATCACTATTGCAACATTGTATTTCGTATCGAATCGATACAAGCATCAGCATCGGTTGGACATTTGTGGGCGGGCGGGCGCGGTGGGCGTCCGGGTGTTGCAAGCGTCTTGATAGGGCCTTTATAAAGATACTCTCCCTAAAGA